GTGCACACAAGTGCACACACACACACACACACACACACACACACACACACACACACACACACACACACACACACATGCATGCATGCAGATGAGGCCACACACACACACAAACACATGCACACACGCACAGAAGGTGCCATTGCCATTGTTTGAGCAATGTGACTCTGCTTGCATGCCCACTAATTCAGACATCCCGCTCTCTTGCCAATCCATGGTGATCTTTCAGCGATGAAGTTGGTGTATTTTTCTTTCCTTGTTGTCCTACCCGTCGACCACCTGCAGCGTTTGTATTGGCGACACCGGTGACTCAGCTCCAGAAGCGGAAGTTTCAACCTGAACATTACTTGCAGCCGTATTCTCTTCCTCCTCCAGGTTCCTCAGCGTTGTAGCAATAGACAGCACAAGCATTGGCCTTGTGAACACCTGGTGACAAGCAAAGCAGTACAGGAGGACAAAAAAGTAAGGAGGCAGAATGTTTTCCAACCGCTCAGTCAATCCTACAGCAATATTTTCCACAGCTTACCACCAGGATAGGTAAGTCCACGTAACAGATTGCAAGCTCAGAATTTTGGTGATTGGGCATCGTGCATTTTTTTCTGTTGGGAAACCTGCTCACCCGTCTGACTCCACAGCAAACAGATCTGATGTGACTGATCGGAGGGAAGGATGCATTCACCCACCAAGGACATATGCAGATTTCTTTATTCACAACCAGTCTACAGTGTTCCAAAACTACACACTGCATTGATATACTAACCATCAATTCTCAGACCCATTCGTGCATAAAGCATCACACTAAAAAGAACAAAGGGACCACATAAAGAACTACAAAATGGTTTGCAAATTGCAATGGATAAATAATTTGCTCCAATCTTTCGAGTTTCGATCCATGGCATTGCTACAAGCCACCCCATTGTAACAATTGTTGTTTCCTGGTCTGTTACCAACTCTCCATTCAGGCCCTTCGTTTCTCTTGTGCCCAACAGTCCAGATGGGTTTGAAAGTGATCGGTACGCAGTCTGCACTGTTGGAGATGCATCGGACAGCGCAGATCGTGTACTGATTGTTTCGGAGAAAAAGACCAGTGGGCATCTGGGCCACCAGCAAACACCAAACTGGCCTAATTTGTTTCTGGGATGGTACCCCATGTGGCACTCACTCACTTTGTCCATTGGCCAGCACCGCGCACGCCTTCAACCTTCTGCGCAAGGCACAAGCGCCCACAGCCCCATTTCTGCTGGCCGCAGAAAAATGTAGTCATGGCCAACGAAGTTTCTTGACATGGTGGGCGACAAAAAAAGGGCCTACCCTAGGCTCCAGTACACTGCGCTACGCTGGACTTTTTTGGGACAGCAGCACGGAAGAAAAACGGCTTGCAATATGGTCGACTCTAATGCTGCAGTCGACTATGCCGTGTAGGACACTGCACTACTTCGCACCCTGCCCAGTTCTGTATTGGTCCCACCACCCTCACCCACACATTTTATTATCTCCCTCGAGCCAACCCAACCTGCCCGGGTTTTCTTCCGAAATTTTGACCCCTCGCCGTCCACCCGAAAAAAAAAAAAACTCACCCAGCCCCCCCTGCTCCCTTGAGCACATCATCACCGACCTGCCCAGTTCTGTAGTGGTCCCACCACCCTCACCCACGAATTTTATTCTCCCTCAAGCCGACCCAGCCTGCCCGAGTTTTCTTCCCAAATTTCGACCCCGCGCCCGGCTCGTCGGCCACCCGAAGAAACAAAAACTCACCCAGCCCCCCTGCCCCCTTGATACATGCCCAGTTGGGCAATGAATGTACATCCAAGGATCCGCAATGTGATGAAAAGGACTGAATGGACTACGCAATGTCAGTGCAACATCAACAGGCAATGTACACCCTGATACATACGAAATGGTACAAAAGTAGCACAGCGGAGATTTGAAGATAAGTCCTGACCTGACCGGGACTGACGCGACATCCCATCATACATCACACAGGTGAGAGGGAGAGGAGGGACTGCACACGAAGAGGAAAGGTCCCTCCTTGCACACGCACATGGGGAGATACCACACATGAAAGATGGAGGGAGGAGAGAAACGAAGATGACGGCGAGGGAGAAGACCAAGATCGCGATAGCGGAGTCCAAAAATAGTCACTTGCCGATGTCCAATCAATGTCTGCCTCAACAATGTTGAATCAGATCGTGGGCACAATGCCCACTGTAACCTCTGCCTGTATCCTCTGCCTGTAACCTCTCTCTATCTCATATCTGAATAAGAAGAAGATGAAGACGAAGAAGAAGAAGAGGAGGAGGAGGAAGGAGGAAGGAGGAAGGAGGAGGAGAGATGGAGGGCGAGAAGGGAGAAGAAGACGTCGCCCTTCTCGCTGCCTCACCTGCAGGTAATGGCCGCCGTACTAACTGCCGTGTATGTCCGGTGCAGGTACCGCGTGGAGACCCCAGCTATGGCGCCAGGTAAGCTCGCCACTACAGGTATGGCCTCCGCCTCCCACTACCTCCTGTGCCGCTCCGTCCAGCCTTGCAGCGCAGTGCAAAATAGCGCAGCCTCCAACCAGCAGCATGTCGCTCAAAAGTGAGCTACTCGAACTGTCCATTGCCCAGCCTCTGCCCAGCTATATGTAGTGCTGGGCGAGGCTGGACCTACCGGGTGCTGGCCTCAAAACGGCCCAGCCGGTCTGGGTCCCTACTGGACGTCCAGACTGTGCTGCTGATGCAGCAGGGCGCCAAAAACGTGCCTGGCCTTTTTTTGGCCTTGCCTCCGGTACCCAGTCCCAAGGTCGTGCCTTGGGCACTGCAAGTCCGAAACGACACCTGCACAGACAACGACGGTTCAGCAGGTAAGTACATAAATAAATAAATAAATAAATAAATGCTGCCTATATTTGCCGTATGTGGCCTGGGGGCCGCCGTGGGCCTCCAGGGCACATCTCTGATGGGCATGCGGCCTTGGGGCCCCTCAGCAACCGTCGGGCCCCTCAAATGGGGCCTGTGTGCAGGCGCAGCATGTAACACCCCCCCCTCCTTATGAAGTCAAGCCGGGTCGAGGGCGAAGCCGACGATCTGAAGGTGGAACCTGGACGCGGGCGCAACATGGAGCCGAAGATTCCGGCTTGCCTTGGAACTTGTGTTCGTAGCGTGCGAGAACATCTGGAGCTGTTGCTTGGAGTTGCACACGGGTCAACCAACGGTTGGCTTTGTGGGTGCAGTACGCAAAGTGTACCCAGTATTCGGTTGGCCTGTTGCCGTAACGTTGCTGGGAGATGATGTCGCCAACCTCTTGAAAAGTGTCCATCGAAGGTGGGTCTTGCGATCGTCACCCGGGGAAGTCGTCATGTTCCGCTGGCGTGTAAAGAGCCAACTTGGAGCAGTGAAAAACCGGGTAGACGGGCAAGTGGGCGGGCACCTGAATGACAAAAGAAGGTCCTTCGGGTGCATCCCCAGCGGGTGCGACAATCGGCCAGGGCCCCATCCATTTCGGGAGGAGCTTGCGAGAGATATCTTGCTCGAGGCTGAATTTCGCGGCCGAAACCCAACGGGCAATGGTGCTATTGACCGTGTCTTGGGTCTTGTAGAAGACCAACGGATTATTATCCGTCACCCATCGGAACTGCCACCGACCGAGAAGAAAATGCCGCCAGTGCTTGAGCGCGTGTACGAAGGCCAATAATTCCTTCTTTTGTGCGTCGTCAATCGAGTGCACGGCGGGCACTTTCTTGCTAAGTACTCGATCCGGTGCCAGTCCACGCCATCATGTTGCTCAAGGACGACACCAATGCCATAGCTGGACGCATCGATAGTGACGCGTGTCGGCAAAAGCGGATCGTAGATGCGCAACACCTTCGTGGATAGTAATGCGGCTTTGAGGGCCAAAAAGGAAGCCCGCGCATTGTCGTCGAAGTCGAATGGCCGGTCCTCGCATTGAAGCTTGGATAAGTGAGCCGCGATCTTCGAGTATCCCTTGATGAAGCGTTGATAGTAACCATTAAGCCAAGAAAGGAACGGACATTGGTGACGTTCTTTGGCTCCGGCCACTCTTGGATGGCTTGAATCTTGTCCAACAACAGACTGATGCCCTCCGGTGTGACAAAATGGCCCAAGTACTCCAACTCTTGACGCACGAATTCGCACTTGTCGCAGTTGGCCTTGTACTTGGCGCAACAGAGCGTCTCCAACACATGTCAAAGGTGCTCAAGATGTTCCTCCAAGGTCCGACTATAGACGAGAATGTCGTCCAAGTAGACCAGCACAAACCGGTCCAACATCTCGCGGAACTCGTTGGTCATCGCCACTTGAATAGTCGGCGGGGCATTGATGAGGCCAAAAGGCATAACAACCCACTCAAAATGCCCGTACCACGCCTTGAACGCGGTTTTGTAGCGATCGTGCGGGCGTATCGAGATCTGATGATAGCACAACTTCAAATCCAACTTTGAAAAGAATTTTGCGCCGCCCAAATGCTCGAGAAGGTCGTCAATGCGCGGAAGAGGTCCCACATTCTTGACGGTTTGTGCGTTGAGCTTGCGGTAATGGATGCACAAGCGAAGATCCTTGTTCTTCTTCCGTACGAAGAGAACTGGCGCACCGTATGGTGAGCTACTAGGGCGGATCCAACCCTTGTCCAACAGATCATCGAGTTGCGTGCAGAGAACCGCGAGCTCTTTCTCGCTCATGCGATAGATGCATCCTTTCGGCGGCACGGCACCAGCCTCAAGAATGATCTCCTGGGAGATTGGCCGATCCGGCACCACACAGGTAGGAGACTCAAAGATGTCGGTGAACTCGTCGAGCAACCGCATCACTCGGGGGTACGAAGACAAGCTCGTAGGTGACGATTCGGTCGCCACGGCGGCTCGTAGAAAACATAGGCCTCTCGTCGGTCCACTCGTGGCCGGAAAAGACTTGGTCGTTACAACTTGGCACCGGATCAAAGGGTGCGGAAGAGGAATGCGAACAGTATGTGTCCGCCGATGGAAGTTAACCGTGTGATCCGCACTTGCAAGCCAAGTCATCCCCAAAATGATGTCGAAGTCCGTATCCAAGACGTCAAACATCACCGGTTCGCATGCATGAGGTGCAAAGTAAGCCGGCACGGCTTCGATGTAGCGATCGAGGAGTTGTTGCGTCCGACCGTCGGCCAACTTGATAGTCGTCGGGTTGGTTTCCTTCGAACTTGTGCACCAAGGACTGGCTGATGAAATTGCAAGTCGTGTCGCTATCCAGCAAAGCACTGCAGGACGCTTGCACAACTTGGATGCGGACATTAAGGAGCGGTGCGTTGTTATCATCGTACCGCTGCGTGCGAAACTCGCGGGCCACCTTGCTAACGTACGCAAGGATGTCCCCCACCGCAGCTTCGTCGCCCGTCGGTGAAGATGGTGGTGCATAGAAGGCTAGGTATGTGTGGAGATGGGGGCATAATGC